TAATTTGACATGGGGAAGTTTTTGCTCAGGATACTTGATTAGGTGAGTGATTTAACAGGTTATAATATTCGTTTTATTGGTATTAAATGGACGATTTAAAAATCGAAAGATTAACATGTAAAACAAAACGATTAGATGGTCGGAAAATATTTAATTCAGATATCCCAAAACTTATCAGAAAAGGACCCCAAGAATGCTAATTGAGCCATGCGTTTTGCATTGAACCGATATCGATTCTGTGTAGTTTCACCAGTTTTGAAGAATAGCCTCTTTGACGGAACACTTGTTACCATTCTTGATAAATAGTCTCGAGCAATGGGGTGTACATGGGGACATACACTACGGATTTTCTCCCATGCTCGAAAAGGCTCGACCGAACGTGGGAAAACAGGCTTATGCAAGAAATTTGGTAATTCTGCCGATATGCCCCCATGGCGATATCAGAGGACTGATGGACCTGAAATATGTCATTAGAAGTAAATGTTTGTACATATGTAGATTAATAGCTTTCTTTACCATTTCGTCATGAATATCCCACAGGCCTCAGGTTGGTTTTGATGGGGGACAGCTGTGTGCATATCATCGCATATTCTTTTGGTACTATAGATCTGCTCAGACACAATTTTAACTACCCGAGCGTGAGCTGGAGACTCCAGGTACAGTGTCTTGAAACGGGATCAAGGAGCGTTGCAATAGCAAATGTATCCACCAGCTCAACGTCTTTGAACCTCTCGTCAAACTGCAGGGAACAAGACAAGAGGTAAACATATTAGTGGGAAAACAAACCGTCTGTTCATCCTTGTGAACGTCAAAAAAAAAAATCTATAATCATCTCTGGAGCACCAAACTTTCTCTTTCTCGTTCTTGCCTACTGAAATGTCACACTTTTTGTTTGCAAAGGTAAAGACAAAAAGAAAATCAATATTAAATTGGAAATGCAAATGCACTTACATTTTTTTTGGATCGATACAAAAATCGAATGAAAAGGATCGTTCCAGTCGATTTTTGTCGTGTTTGTGTTTGATCTTTTGTGTTTCGATCTAAGATCGCCCATTGCTAGTGAGTTAGCACACACCGTAAAAAACAGATTGTCCTTCTACACTGAACCAAAACATCCGCAATACTTCGAATGATTATTGCATTGCTCGAGCCCTTTAACAATATGCATTCGAATTTCGGATGATTTTCTTATGGTTGAATTCGTCGTCAGATGATGAACGTCCATATGACTGTCATCCAAATACAGGACGATTTTCGTTTGAAAATTAGCTATAAAACATACGGCACTCAGAGGACAAACATTTAAGAATAGTGTGACGTGCAAGTGCTTTTAATTAGATTTATAATTTGATTATCTACAATTCCATACTGAATAGCCATAATAAGCCATTCCATTATGGATACAACATTTTTCGTGGTGGAGAAAACCTCCTCCACCACGAATTAGCCAAACATTGGTTTTCATCCTTTTACTTTTTTTCGTGACAGCTCTGATAGCGATGCATATGCTTCCACCTCGTTTGTCAGCTCAGATCAGCAAATGACGTTCGATAGAATTATTTACATCATCGTTTTGAATGATTTGCTTTATGGGGCTGAACCAATACCATATGCATTTCCAGTAAGTATGGCAGTCATTCTGCAGAGAGCATTACGCATTTCAACTGAAGGCCCTGTCCCTTCTCATAACAAGTTTCATCCCGTATTCGAGAGGAAAATCATCTGATTTCAAAACAACCGTCATCCGGTTGCAGCTAGGATTCGAAAAAGCGATTTCGGTGTTTTGTTTTGAATGGTCTGAGGTTTCATTCGATTAGAGGATGATGTTTGTGTACAGTGTATGGAAAACCAACGTTTTGTATCACCTTTATAAATTAAATATTTTATATCAAAATTGGAACAATCGAATGTCTGTCAAAGTCATAGAAAAAGTCATTCCAATCGAGCAGAAGACCAGTCAAATGGATAAGATGTCGCCCCTTTTTATAAATTCAGGATCTTTAGTATCACCATGTGAGGATGTCAAACAACAGGCAACAATGCCATATGAAAAGGGCGGATTTATGATTTTTGTGGTGAATAGAAATAAATCCAAACGATTTGAATTTAATGGAGGTTCATATTCCTATATAATCATATGCCAATACAATTATTTGGTTTCTTATACTAAGTTTTGCTCATGAATATAATCATCCTTCAGATTAATGTTTGTTGGGTCACTAATTTTTCCCTGAACTTCTCTGGCCATTCCTTTTTTTTTTTATTTTCCTTTGGTTTGTTTTTTCCGTCGATCTTGTTTTCCGTGCTGAGCACCAATGCTACCGACGTGCCAGGAAGGCAGCTCCCACACCTGGACCCTACCTATCGACCCATCAAACTCATGAACCGGGGACCAACGGCTTTACTTCCCATCCGAAGGAAGGCGTGATCAGAGATGTTATGCCTCAGAACATCCCAGCGGCGCCGACTGGGATTGAACCCAGGCCTGCTGGGGTGAGAGGTAACCACTGGCGCCGTTACTGGCCATTCCTGCCGTTTTCTATGCTTCTCTGAGGTTCCCGAAATATAAATAATTCCCTGACGCTTATGATGTTTTCGGATCATTCATAAAATTCTAAGAATATCCCATAATTACAGGTAACTTTTTGTATGTCTTTGCAAATCTCCTTAATTTAATGGAATTGCTCTGAAGCTATCTGATCGTTCTTGATATATTCGGAACTTTGCTGAATATCATGAAACTATTTTAAAGTGCCTAAGTTTCCATGAAGATCTTAGGATGTTTTTTAATACATTACATTTTTTTTTTGAAAATTGAACTGTCTTGAAGTTCACTAATCCGCTTGTATAAATTTTCGGCAATTTTTGAAATTCTTGAAATTTCCATGATAATAACTTAACATTTTTAAATAATCTCCCATTTTTCTGATGCTAATTTAACTTCCCTTACGTTCTAGAAATTCTCTCCAAAGTTTGCAGAAAATTCCGGAATGTCAATGAATTTTTCAAAAATTCTGTAAGCTTTCTACAATTTCCTTGAAATTATTTGAACTGCCCTTAAGTCCTCTGGTCTGTTCAGTTCAGAGAAGCTTCCCTGAAGCTCACAATTCTACAATATTTTGGTTCTGCTCTGAAATAAATGGAACTCTCCTAAACACTTTGAAATTTCCCTTAAGTTTTGTGGACCTCTGTGAAGGTTCTGAAATATTTCAGATTTTTTCATAATTTCTCTGAAGGTCTCTATACTACCCTGAAATTCCCGGCACATCTTAAGGGTTCTGGTTTTTTTTTTCGTGAAAGCTGCTCTGAATGTACCAAATCTCACGCTTATATATGTTTAAACTCCTCCAAAAGTTAGGACTTTCCTGCAGCTACGGGAACTGCCCTTAAGATTCTCTGAAATTTACCAAAGATCTGTGGATCTAGCTTTTCTGAAGTACTTAGAATTTCTTAAAAGATTTCACAGGTTTCTCTAAAATTCTCCCTACATCTCTGAATTTCTTTTAACCTACATTAAGCTCATTCCAAGAGCTTATTCAAATTTCCTGCAGCTTTTATTAAGCTAATAGAACCGCTCTGAAATTCTTAAAACATCCATGAAGTTGCCCATATTTTCAAGATGTTTTTTAAAGAGCTTTATGTTCCCGCAGCTTGTTTATTAAGTTTCTTTAAAATTCTTAGCATTTCTTTCAAATCAACAGATGTTCTGCTAAATTTCTACAGTTGATGTGAAATTAATGGGACCTCACTGATCATCACTAATATTTTATAAAATTAAATGCAAACTTTAAATATTTTTTTCCAATAATTAAGCTGATGCCAATCATATTTTCATTTAATGTCCAACATCACTCAAATAAGTCGAGACGAGAAAAATTAAATAAGAAGGTATGAAAAAAATAAACACACAATTCGTGTAATGATACATACAAAATTTAATAACAAAAACACAATGTGTAATGACGAACAATGTAGTTCAATTTGTTGTGCATTTAAAATATAATTTTCGTGTGATTGCGGTTCAAATTGATAACGCGTTGAAGACCGGTATAGAAGCTATCCGCTTAAATGTAAATGGTACCCCAAAAGAGGCCGTTTGGCTAACCTGAAAAATTATTAAATGAGAAATTGACAAATATGACTAGGACTAGTTCGGTTTCTTCTGAGTTGGGCAAATCCCCGATAGCAATAGTAATAGTCATGACGAAGAGAATCATACCGGTGGTAAAGCTAAAAGTAGCTTCGCGGATGCTTCGAAAAAACGGACAAGGGGACAGTAAAAGTAAGGATAGGAATAACAATAAATTTGAAAATGATAAAAGTAAGGTTGAAAGTTAAGAATCGAACAACCGTTTGGCTCGTCCGGTCATTTGCGTTGAAACCTAAAGAGTCCAAACAAGACTTCGAGGAAACTCGCAAATTTTTGAAAACAAAACTGGATCCAAAAACACCTAAAATCATTAACTTTAGAAACGGGAAAGTTGGCTCCATTATTGTTGAGTGTGCCACAGGATACAATGTAAATGAGGTGAAAAGGGGCATTGAAAGCAATCTGGGTGAAAACTACAACGCTGGTGTTCCCACATCGGTGCCAATGTTAAGAGTGATGAGCGATCAGCATTCTTCTGATGACTTCATTGACTTGTTAAAAAGTCAAAATGAAGACATCGCGAAAAATGATGTCAAAGATATAAATATGTACGAACATTTCAGAAAGTTATAGCTTACAATGTCAAAACCCAGAGGCGGGAAAGAGTTAAGACTTACCTTTAGTGTTTTAAACTCGGTCCATACAGGTCTTCAGCGTCTTACAATCAGCCCGTCTAAATAGGTTCATAAAGGTCCCCTGGACTTGTCTGGACCTTTTTCCCAATGTCCAATGAATGTGATACCAACAGAATCAAAACAATTTCCTGTATAAACTTTATTCTTCGATTTTCTCGTTTCATATAAATAGTTAATTTCACCAAATTGCAAGTTGTTTTCCTTGCCAGGAGTATAGTCGTTAAGTTTAGAAGACCTAACACTAGAATTATACTTGCATAATTCTGTTAGATATATGCAAATCTCGTTTTCTTCTATCATATCGCTAATCGAACGATTCGAATGCAAATCTTACTTTACATAAGGAGGTTATAGTACAACAAGTTATAAATGGCATTAGTCCAACTTCCGTCCGCATGGCCTTGGTTCTATCTTAGCTTAGTGCTACGAAGCAACCCTTCCACCTCTTCGTCTGAGTCCGTTTTTGCTTAAATTATAAATATCTTATCCAGTACATTCTTAGTATAAATGCTGCTGATCTGCGCTCGTTTCGGTCGAATAAAAAATTGTATCGAGAAAGAAGTCTTTGGATAATCCTAAATGTTCAACTCGCAGATCTTATGGTTGCCACGGGTGGTTATGGGATTTGATAGTAGACTCGGTGGGTGCCGAGGCCGATCCACTGTATTCGTACGATTCTTTGGATTCACCCGAGCTGTGTTGATGGTGCAGATGTTGCAGGTGTTGGGTGCTGTCACCGTGAGAACTCACCGGAATGTAGTTTTGACTGCTGGAACCTGCTGGAAGGTAAGTGTGGGATGGTTTCGGTGGCAGGTATGCCCTGCTGGGACTCGACGGCAGTGACGGGAGATATGTTTTGGAGGGTTGTTCGTAGATTACCTTGTTCTGAGCTTTTGATGGTAGGTACTGGAGGCTGGGTGCGAGATAGCTGTTGTGAACCGACGTCGATGTGGGTGCTTGAGTGTGGGAGTAGTCCGGGCTATCATTCGTTGAGCCTAGGTAGGTTGATGGCTTGAATGGCTTCTGATTGTGGATGGAAGTGTGCAGAGGAGATAAGACGTGAGCCTGGTTCTGTACGGCAAGAGGTTTGATGGACGAGATGTACTTGTTTCCGGAGTATAAATCAGGGATCGCAGCGTTAATCGAGGATGCGTAATGTCCAAGTCCTTTGATTCCGGCGGCATATGCAGGTGCAGATTGCTGAGGAGCTCCGTAGCCGTGAGAGTAGTATGAGTTCAATGGAGGACCTTGTGGTGTTCCGTAGGTATGCGTTGGAGCTTCGTGAACTTTAAACATCGTTGGTTTGTACTGACTGAATGAATCATAGTTGTACGGTGTATCCCAGCCATGGCCCGTTGGGACGGCTTTGATGGAGATGGCAGGGCTAGGAGAGTTCAGTGCCTTGAGTAGGTCGGAAAGTTCCTTCGATCCGATGCTGTATTTTACTGAATTATCAGCAAACGAGTTATACCCATGTTGAGCAGCTGGTGAGAAGAATGACGCCGGTTGTGGCGAAGGGTATTTGAAGGGGGCCATAAAGTACTTTTGACCCGGATACTGTGGTACGTTGAATGATGGCTGTGCAACACCGTAGTTGTATCCGCTGTAGCTAGGTGGTAAATATTCCATGTGTCCGAAACCGACCGGAGCTTCACGTTTTCCATGTGGGATCTTCGATGGAGTTTTGTGAGAAGCCGATGCCGGAGCTGATGATGATTTCGGTTGAGCTTCTTTGGCCGCTAGAACGCCAGCCGATAACAGCACTACGGCTGTTAGCTTGAAATACTAGGATAGAAGGGAAACATAGTTTTAGTTGCGTAGTAAAAACCATAGAGATTAACAACCTTTTTTCGTTCTACACACTTAGAAAAATTCATGTAAATTTAGGTACTCTGAGACTGACATATACGAGCGTCAATTTTGACATAAAATGGAGTCATAGTATACGCGAAACTCAGCTCAATCCAACATACTTTCGAAGTTTTCAGGTTGATACAAAAATGCAAACAACAAACATTCGGTGACTAGACTCACCTTGGACTAAATTTCAATCTTTTGTACCCGTACCACAAGAATGCTTCTTGTAAACAAAATTCAGTTCTAGTTTTGATATTATAAAAACAACCTTAAATATCTATTAAGGTGCCTCACATTAAACGTTTTGATAATGGCCCTTCGCTCATATTCAACTTCTATTCAATTTTCATACTGCCGTACTCTAGCGGAACTATCTACCTACTCTCTTCAGATCATTCTCTAGCTAATAAATTATCACACTAAAGCTTCACTTTAGATAGCATTTCCAACCAACACTTTGAATGTATAATTCTTTGTTTGTCTAAACTTCAGCTACTAAATACACTCAGGTCTTTTTTTACACGGGGGATACGGTCCGTGTAAAAAAAAAACCGTGTAAAAAAAACCTACGAGATTTTGATTTTTCGCATGCTTCAACGTTTTTAAAAAATCGGATTTTGATGCCATTTGTAATTAAAGCATGATATGGTCCAAATAGACATATTTTAAAAATTTCTGTATTTACACCAAAAATTGTGATTTTTTTTAAGTATGCCATTCGATTACAAATAGCTTGAAACGGATAATGTAATTGGAATCAAGTCGATAGGTTGTATCGTTGTCGAGAAATCGTTAAAAACGTACCGTGTAAATCGTGGAAAACCGTGTAAAAAAAACCGTGTAAAAAAAAACCGCGTAAAAAAAAAACCGTGTAAAAAAGACTTCAGTGTACTGCTGAACAGTATCAAGTAAAAAAGAGATTTGGTTAAATTTTATTCGTCTTGTCTTTATTTAACGTCGGTCTCTGTTCCGCAATCTAGTGCCGATCACCGACGGACATCAATTGCCATTCATTGACGACAATCGAATGTGCAGGGAGGCAGCTTCCACACATACGTAGGATATCACACCCATGAACAGACATGAGCCGGGACCAACGGCTTTACTTCCCTTCCCAAGGAAGACGTACCAGATATACCAGATTACCTCGACTGGTATTGAACCCATACCCATTGGGGAGAGAAGCAGTCACGCTTACCACTACACCACCGGCATTGGCGATCAAATCCTCATCCTCTGTTACCGATTGTGTCACATTTTCCATCGTTATATTTTTGTAATACACAAACAGCCGTCAGTGTCAATAGGCACATGTTGTATTACGCGCGCATTTTGGCTTACGCGGTTGATATTCAATACGTAAATGGAGTAATAAGTCATTTTGAAAAGTTCTACTATAAGTGACGTGATGCTCACTTTAACACTTTAGTGAATCGGGTCTTTAGAACAGCTCGAGAACAGATCGCCCATCTCTAGACTGAAGCCAAAAAATGATTAATTGGATTTTCTAGGTAATTGTGAAACCAGAGCAGTACTTATGGTTCGTTGGTCTGATGGCCAAAAATGAAAGAGAGAGTTGCTTAGAGAAAGACTCCAAAGGTCAGCAACTCTCTTAATAATAGGTGCAATGAGAAGTATATCATAGAAAACGAAACGAGTGCTCTAAGGGTTGAAAAGTCAGCTGCGCCGGAAATGTACACACTTAGATTTTTTTTGCCGAGATGGGCACCACCGAGCAGCTCGGCCTTTTATTTTGCTGGATTTCAGTGAAAAACTTGCCGAGATTGTTTGTTAGCTGAGATTCCGGCAAAATTCCTATTTGTTAGCTGAATCTCGGCTAGTTTTTCACTTAGATCCAGCAAAATAAAATGCCGAGCTGCTCGGTGGTGCCCACCTCGGCAAAAAATCTAAGTGTGGGTAAACGTGATTATCTCTCAGCCCAGCAGGCCTGGGTTCAATCCCAGTCGGCACCACCGGGATGTTCTGAGGCATAACATCTCTTATTACGCCTTCCTAAAGGGAAGTAAAGCCGAATGCATCACCCAAGTCTTCGAGTAGAAGTAAGCAGCTGGTGAATGACGAATGCTTGATGGCAAAATGTAGTAACTCAGTGAATGATAGTAAAGAGGAGAGGGAGCAAAAAAACCGGGAAAAAACGAACCATTCGTGCATAACTAGCGCAACGTTTACTGTGATAGAATCAAATCGCTGATGAGCAGCAGACAATGCGATGCATGATTCATAGCGAATATCTGCAACCTTGTTGCCTATAATAGAACAGCTGGTTACCCAAGCAACAATTTTGGTTTTATGAGGGTTCTGTAGACCATGATTTAGACTTGTAGAATGCTATAAAACCGCGATAAAACCTGCAATGTTACTTGGGTAACACGCAGTTCAAACGGAAAGGTTGTCGAAGAAAAAGAGGCTGCCGACAATAGTCACAGTCACCTAAGAAGTTTGGAGTGTTGTAAAACCATTACAATCAATTTTGAACATTTCTGCCGATTGAAATGTATAGAGAAGCAAGGAGGAGATAAATGTAAACAAACCAACTCGTCATATGTGTGCGTTTTGCTTAGGAAATGCTAATAGAAACGCGGACTCTGCATATATTGACGAGAACACGAGAATTTCCCTATATGTGCCAAGAAACACTTGATTTTCTCTACAACTTTGCCTCAGACGTCATTTCGATCAGAAGTGACGTTTTCGGGCTACAAATTATTGAAAAATTACAAAGACGACATTTTGAAAAAAAAAAAATACAACATCCAACATGGCCGAATTTTGAAAAAAATGGATAATTGCCCACAGTGATGGGCAACTGAACCAACCGGTGCGCACCGTGTGCTGGTTCGTGTTCAAAAAATACTCCTGTGTTTATGTAAGCGTGTACCCTGGTTCGGTTGAGTTTTAGTGTACCAGTGCAGTGTGTTCTAAATCAAAACCGTGTGCCGGTTTTGGAGTTGATGTTCAGAACCGCAGCTTGAAAACCGAAAACCGGTATGCTAGAATTTTGGTTTTGGTACACGAGATATAAACCGTGTGCAGGGTTCAATTATATGTTACCAAAACCGGGTATACCGTTCTTGGTTCGGAACATTGGCAAGAATTAAATAGCAGTGCTCCCAAAAAGGTGAGTAAAATATTTGTACGAAGCGACAGTTATTAATTCAATTGCCAAATATTTTGATAGACAATATTGGTAGCGAAGGAACTAGAAATCATTTTGAAGCCTGACAAATACCCTTCGATATGGGTATTTTTGGAGTCCGCGTGACGCCTATAGTCTAGAAATCGATAACCGATACCTTCTTGAAATCCAGAAGGCGGCATCCTGTTGCAGATAAACTGAGAAATCCTGTCCTGACGCCATTTTGAAATCCAAGATGGTGGCTTACGGTTGTAGGAAAACTGGGAAATACTAGCAAATACCCTTCAATATGGGTCAAATACCCTACAATTTAGGTATTTTCGGAACCAAAAAGACGTGTAGATGCCGAAAATGAATGTCCGTTGCCGTTTTGGAATCTAATATGGTGGCCATTGGGTTAAAAAAAAGTTGCAAAAACCCTACAATATGGGTATTTTTGAAATAGGGACGACGTGTAGATGCCGAAAATTGATGTCCGAGGCCATTATGGAATCCCCGATGCCGACCATATCGTATAATATTTTACACTTTTTCTAAAACAGGTGGTCACCATCTTGCATTCAAAAATGGCGTTGTACATCGATATTCGGCCTACACACGTCATTTCCGAGGTGATAATACATTGTAAGGTATTTCACAAGTTTTTAAAAGCCAATGCCTGCCATCTTGGAATCCAATAAGATGTTGGACATCGATTTTCAGCCTCTATACGTCGTCTCCTACACACTTAGATTTTTTTGACGATATTACCACCATCGAGTAGTTCAACATCTACTCATATAAGGATCTCAGTGAAAACTTGCCGAGATTGAGCTAAAAAACGGGAATTTTGCTGAGGTCTTCGCTAACAAACAGAAATTTCTCGGTAAAAAATCTAAACGCTTATCCGAAAATACCTTATTTCCCAGTTTTTCTATAAAGGGAAGCCGCCATCTTGGATTTCAAAATGGCACCAGACTTTGATATCCGGTATATATACGTCATCCTGATTTCAAAAATACCCATATTGAAGGATATTTGGCATTATTTCCCAGTTTTAATCTAACCAGAAGCCGCCATCTTGGATTTCAAAATGGCGTCAGACATTGATTTCCGGTCTCAAGACGTCTTCCTGATGACAAAAATAGACATATTGGAGGATAGTTGGCTTTATATCCCAGCTTTCCTACAACCGGAAGCCGCCATCTTGGATTTCAAAATGGCGTCAGACATTGATTTCCGGTATTTATACGTCATCCTGATTTCAAAAATACCCATATTGAAGGATATTTGGCATTATTGCACAGTTTTCCTACAACCGGAAGCCGGCATCTTGGATTTCAAAATGGCGACAGACTTTGATATCCGGTATATATACGTCATCCTGATTTCAAAAATACGCATAGTGAAGGATATTTTGCATTATTTCCCAGTTTTAATCTAACCAGAAGCCGCCATCTTGGATTTCAAAATGGCGTCAGACATTGATTTACGGTCTCAAGACGTCTTCCAGATGACAAAAATAGACATATTGGAGGATATTTGGCTTTATATCCCAGCTTTTCTACAACCGGAAGCCGCCATCTTGGATTTCAAAATGGCGTCAGACATTGATTTCCGGTATTTATACGTCATCCTGATTTCAAAAATACCCATATTGAAGAATATTTGGCATTATTGCACAGTTTTCCTACAACCGGAAGCCGGCATCTTGGATTTCAAAATGGCGTCAGACTTTGATATCCGGTATATATACGTCATCCTGATTTCAAAAATACCCATAGTAAAGGAT